GAATCTTCGCCCTCCTCACTGGTCTTCAGTTGCATTGCATAATTTACTAGATTTCTAGGTTGGTATGCTGTATTGTCTCTGTTTTATTGTGAACTTAAGTTAACACCTCAAAATTAAGGATTTCATTTTTATTAAAAAACTAAGAACAAATTTTATACTTCGTTGCAGTGCTATTACTCCGATGCTGCTATAGCTGATGGTTACTTCAGTGTGCTGGCTGAGGTCTACATGCGCCAAGAGATACCAAAATGTGAAATCCAGAGACTTCTGAGTCTAATTCTCTATAAGGTTGTAGATCCATCAAGACAAATCCGGGATGATGCCCTTCAGATGCTTGAGACACTTTCTCTTCGTGAGTGGGCCGAGGATGGCATTGAGAGCTCAGGGAATTATCGGGCTGCTGTTGTGGGTAACCTTCCTGATTCCTACCAACAGTTTCAATACAAGCTCTCGTGTAAACTTGCCAAAGATCATCCTGAGTTGAGTCAGCTTCTATGCGAGGAGATTATGCAGAGGCAACTTGATGCTGTTGATATAATTGCACAGCATCAGGTCTTAACATGCATGGCTCCTTGGATTGAGAATTTAAATTTCTGGAAACTTAAGGACTCGGGTTGGAGTGAAAGACTACTAAAAAGTCTTTACTACGTGACATGGCGGCATGGCGACCACTTTCCTGATGAAATTGAGAAACTTTGGAGTACAATTGCTAGCAAACCCAGGAACATTAGTCCTGTTTTAGATTTCTTGATCACGAAAGGGATAGAGGACTGTGATTCAAATGCATCTGCAGAAATAAGTGGTGCTTTTGCTACATATTTCTCTGTTGCAAAGCGAGTAAGTTTATACTTAGCACGGGTATGTCCTCAGCGTACAATTGACCACCTGGTTTACCAGTTAGCTCAGCGCATGCTGGAGGATAGCATAGATCCAATTGGGCCGATTGCAAATAAGGTTGATGCTAATGGAAATTTTGTGCTAGAATTCTCTCAAGGGCCTGCAGTTCCCCAAATTGCATCACTTGTGGACGTCCAGCCACACATGTCACCGTTACTTGTCCGGGGTTCCTTTGATGGTCCATTAAGGAATGCAAGTGGGAGCCTGAGCTGGCGAACAGCAGGTGTGACAGGCCGAAGTGTCTCTGGCCCGATAGGGCCAATGCCTCCCGAGTTGAACATTGTTCCTGCAAATGCAGGCCGATCAGGTCAGCTCCTTCCAGCACTGGTTAATATGTCGGGGCCTTTAATGGGGGTCAGAAGTTCAACAGGAAGCTTGCGGAGTCGCCATGTTTCTCGGGACAGTGGGGACTATCATATTGATACTCCAAACTCGGGTGAAGACGGGTTGCACTCTGGGGTTTCCATGCATGGGATTAGTGCTAAAGAACTTCAGTCGGCCTTGCAGGGCCATCAGCAGCATTCACTGACGCATGCAGATATAGCACTGATCCTACTCGCAGAAATTGCATATGAAAATGATGAAGATTTTCGCGAGCACTTGCCTCTTCTCTTTCATGTTACATTTGTTTCGATGGATAGTTCGGAAGACATTGTGCTGGAACACTGCCAACATCTGCTCGTTAATCTACTATATTCTCTTGCAGGACGACACTTGGAACTGTATGAGGTTGAAAATAGTGATGGAGAGAACAAGCAGCAGGTTGTGAGCCTGATCAAGTATGTTCAATCAAAACGAGGAAGCATGATGTGGGAAAATGAGGACCCCACAGTCGTGAGATCTGAGCTTCCAAGTGCAGCATTGTTGTCTGCACTAGTTCAGAGCATGGTGGATGCTATCTTCTTCCAAGGAGATCTTCGTGAGACCTGGGGAGCTGAGGCACTGAAATGGGCCATGGAGTGCACATCGAGACACCTAGCCTGCCGGTCACATCAGATTTACCGTGCATTGCGGCCTAGTGTAACAAGCGATACATGTGTGTTGCTCCTCCGGTGCCTTCATAGGTGCCTAGGAAATCCAGTACCTCCAGTTTTGGGATTCATTATGGAAATCCTGTTGACATTGCAAGTGATGGTGGAGAACATGGAACCAGAGAAGGTGATACTATACCCCCAACTCTTTTGGGGGTGTGTAGCTATGATGCACACAGATTTTGTTCACGTCTACTGTCAAGTGCTTGAACTCTTCTCACGTGTGATTGACCGTTTATCATTCCGAGACAGAACAACAGAAAATGTTCTTCGTTCGAGCATGCCTCGGGATGAGTTGGATACCAATAATGAACTTGGGGACTTCCAGCGAATGGAAACCAGGAGTGGCTATGAGCAGCCTCCTTCTGGTGGAAATCTGCCAACATTTGAAGGTGTGCAGCCTCTTGTTCTTAAAGGACTCATGTCAACTGTTAGTCACGGCGTTTCTATTGAAGTTCTCTCACGGATCACAGTTCACTCATGTGACTCTATATTTGGAGATGCTGAGACAAGACTCTTGATGCACATCACAGGCTTACTTCCCTGGCTCTGCCTGCAGCTTAGCAAGGATCCGGTGTTGGGGCCTGCTTCGCCACTACAACAGCAGTTCCAGAAAGCTTGCTCTGTTGCGGCCAACATCTCTATTTGGTGTAGAGCAAAATCATTAGATGAGTTGGCTACTGTATTTATGGTTTACTCACGTGGTGAGATCAAAAGCATCAACAATCTCCTTGCTTGTGTCTCGCCACTCTTATGCAATGAGTGGTTCCCAAAGCACTCAGCTTTGGCTTTTGGGCACTTACTACGACTACTGGAGAAAGGGCCGGTTGAGTATCAGCGTGTGATACTGCTCATGCTTAAGGCATTGCTCCAGCACACTCCCATGGATGCTGCCCAAAGTCCACATATGTATGCGATTGTGTCCCAGTTGGTAGAGAGCACACTCTGCTGGGAAGCATTGAGCGTCTTAGAAGCTCTTCTGCAAAGCTGTAGCTCAGTGCCAGGTTCTCATCCTCACGAACCTGGGTCGTTTGAAAACGGGATTGGCAGTGGTGATGACAAAATGCTAGCTCCTCAGACCTCATTTAAGGCTCGCAGTGGGCCACTACAGTATGGTATGACATCTCCATTTGCAACAGGTTCAACACCAGCGCACGGGAGCGCAACAGAATCTGGAGTCTCACCTAGAGAAGTGGCTTTGCAAAACACAAGGCTCATCCTCGGGCGGGTTCTTGACTGCTATGCGCTGGGGAAGAGAAGAGATTACAAAAGGCTGGTACCTTTTGTGACCAGCATTGGGTAACCCTAACTTCCATATAACCTGTATGTTCTCTCTCTGTTTTTTCAACGACTTCGTTACACAGTAGAGGGGGTAGTCCCTTCCCGCATTGTAGAGGTTCAACTATCCATCCGATTCCCTTAGGAGTCGCACCAAGACTATGTGGAGAGATGTTACCGCGCTAAGAGTGGTCGGTTATATATTTGATGCATATTAGTGTATGATGATAATGATGATGATGATGATGATGATGATGATGATGTTGCGCGGGGCATGGGAATTTTGTAAATAGGGTAGTAGTTTGTGAAGCTAATGGTGTAATACTTTGTACAGTTTGACGCCTTTAGAGGACTGGAATTTAATCTTGGCTACCTATATATCGTTCTTCAGTGCAATCCGTGTGGTCTAACCAAGTGTTGTTCCATTTCTGAATTTATATCTAAAAATAAGGTAATTCTCACTTTACTACCCTGAGGTTCGTGGCTGCTGCCATGACCATGACGTCGAGCTCAGTCTCCGTTGACCTAAATCTTGTGGTTCTTCTTTGCTACTTCGCTGACGTTGAGCATGCGCCGCGGTGCGAATTTAGGTGATCCTCACCTTCCCTTTAGAGGAGGGAAGAGGATCCTCTCCGGATTCACTTTGTGGAGATCCTAGAGATCTCGACATTCTTGCCGTTCATTGTACATCGTGCGGTCAGTTTTCGTCATATGCTATTGTGTTTAATTTTAAATAAAAAACTCAAATGATGGTCGCACGATACACAATGAATGATTAAGATGTAAGGATTCTTAGGATCCTCACACAGTGGATCCGGATGGGATCCAGTTCCCCGTGAGCAAAGCTGCACTCTTGCTTGTAGGTTTTTAAAGTGTCAACAATCTACTTTACCTTCTAGTTAAGGACATGATCGGTTTTAATAGAGGGTTTCCCTGGGGCATCTACGTATTCAATATCTCAGTTGCTTCACATAGTAAGACTAAATATAAATCTTCGGTGATAATACTTGCATCTCACATGCGGTAAAGATACGTTAAGAAGTGAGATATGTGCATTCATCCAGATGTTACAATGAACAATTCACACCATCCAAAAATACCCTTACACATAAAAACAGGGAGCATAGAAGGGATCACATGTTTCCTTCTCCTTTCTAACGAGAGATCTTCTGGAACACGTAAGCCACATATTATTATACTAAGTGGTGGAAAGTTTTTTTGTTCAAGTGTCCCACCAATTGTATTATTACATGTGACGTACCGTCCCGTATTTCTAGTACACTGAAAAATCTCTCTTTTCTAACCACCAGTTTCTTTCTATCCTATAAACCTGACCAGTAAAATGTGCTGAAAGGTGGGAACAAACAGAAAAAAAAAAAACTGGCACTACCACTAGGAATTTCTCGTCATCCATGTCATGCTAGTTTGTTAACTTACTATATTGGCCGGACTTTATAAGCCTTTGATCGTTCGATCCAAATGAAGATTAACCGATCAACGTCTTTAAAATATAAAGTCTCAGTAGTTGTTCACTTGTTTGTACCCGATTGTGCATCATCAGATGATATATTTCAGCCGTTAGATGGAAGAACTGTTGAGACCAGTATTAGACCGTCTGAGACCAGAATACACAGAGGGTTCAGCTCTTTGTTATTGTTCCTCCCTGACATAAGCCAAATTTGGGCAATAACTTGCTGCGAAAGGATCTAAACAACCAAACCACTTCTGGTTTCCAGGTTTGAACAAATCTTGGGTTGTAAGTAAGGCTTAGGGTTTAGGAACATTAGACCGAAATCGAAAAGACACATTTGCATTTCTCACACCTCACTTGGTTCTAGTACGAAAAAGAGTTCGAGTTCAACAACAATGTAATACAACACCACAAGTGTGGAGGGCAACGAATTCAATTGCCCGCTTCTTGCACTAGCAAACTAACATATTTTACATGTGCAGAGTCTTCCTTTATTTTCCAACTGAACCCTCTCAGAAAACCCTGGTTTTCTAATACAGATTCAGCCCGTTGATGTCTTCACTAAAGTCATGAGGGCCTCCAAGAATCACTCACGCTTTGATGCGTTCTTGAACAAGGCATAGGCATCGCTGTATATGGCCACCGCGTTTGAGAACACAGCAAGGAAAATCATGAAAACACTCAAGACCTTGTCCTTCTTTGTTGCTATGTTGTGTCGATCCCTGAAATACCAAAAGACAAAACTCAATGTTACATAGAGGAGAAAGAGATGAGTATCGATTCCAATTCAGATGCGGAGACTCAAAGTTTTATGCTACCTAATTGAAAAATTAAAAAAAAAATGGTTAGTAAATAGAAACGTGAATTAATAGATAGTTATTGTGATCAAGTCAAAAACTCACTTGAGAGTAATTGCAGCCGGGAAAATGAACCCGAGGCAAACAGCAGCAGTTGCTCCAGTGAACTGGAAAGCATCCCAGATGCTGGGTATAAAGTTTGCACCCAAGAAGATAATACTTATGAGCCCAATGGTGACTAGTGCAAATCTCATATTATCCAGAACCATCGGCCTTGCAGAGGGAAAGAGGAGGCCATCCAAGTTGAGCCGCAATGGAAAGAAGACAATGGGAAACACAAGCATAAGGTGAGCAGCATAACTGACACGCACCGCATCATTGAGCACAGAACTGTAAGGAATGCCAAGGTTCGTGTCGAAGTTGGCAAGCACATCGTCAAGAGTTCCGTCCCCAAATAGGAGGAACCCAAAAAGGCTTGTCATTATGTAAACAGATGAACATAAAGCAAGCGAGGTTTGTACAACCCCTCTTATCTGCGTAGAATCTTCAAGCTCGTTGTGGATGCTGTGGACTGCAGAAAAGGTGAAAAGCATATCAAATATAAGATCTCCCATATTCAAATATTAGTCTTGCATATTTTCAGTAAACTTGTAAGTGTTTAAATTGTCAAAAATGTTAATTTCAAATCACTTTTATGTTTCTAAATGATAATTCAGTTTAACGGAAAAAAAATTAAAGCAAAGGAACTGCGGAGCACAAGTATACTAATCCACCTGAAATTCCTTATTCTTATAGCAGGAACAGGGTCCGGGTCTGGGAAAATGAACTCTATGTAAGCAAACAGTTTTCATACCATTGTAGTGACAGATGTATGCAGTGACAAGAACGGGGACTACGGTGAAGAGATTGAAGAATGATGAGACGTCAATAACATCAGGTAGCAATCTGGGCATTGCAATGCTTCCATTGATCAACTTGACAACCGTAATTCCAACGGTAATAACAAGAAATACAACTGCTAGTGCAACTGATAGGGCAGATGAGAAGCTCAATGAATCTGCAACCATATCAGGGCTATTAACATCACCAAGAAATTCCATTCCAGTTAGAAAAATGAATAACTTTTTAACAAATAATAGGCTCAAATTCAACAAAAATTTGGAAAACTTATTAATTAAATCACCGCTCCACCAACAACTTGATCTAAAAGCTACACAATTATTCTCGAACAGGTTTAAGATAAGGAATATCATAAATGTGTACGGGAAGCAAGGGCATGTTAAAAATATGCTAAACATCTTTGACTTTACCCAATCAGTGGAAAAACTCATGAACCATAATGTAATATTAATTAGCATATCAAAACTGTATGCTGATCCTCCTAACATTGTATAAAAGTAATCAAAGCAAATGAGGCTATCAGGCTAGAATTCAAATCACAAACACATGGAAATGAAACTAATAGCGGTGCACCAAATAATTTCTTCAAATACAAAGAATCCTGGCTCACCAATTCGCTTAAAGCATGCCAATGGAGCAAATATGCCAAGTGTAGTGACAAGAAGAACAATGAATCGCGCAGTCCACCAGTGTACTCCAAACCATCCTCAAGTACACCAGCGTGGTGAACCCCACTCGAAGATGTTCCAGAAAGCACATCACCTTCACACAAGCAGCATAAAGATTGTTAGACAAATCAAGACATTTTACATATCAATCCTATGACAAACTAGATTAACAAAAAACTTTACTAGAGATACCGAAAAGATAGATTTGCAACAATTCGTTAAAACAATTCGATACTATAGATAGAGATATAGTCATACCAATGATAATCATGTAGACAATGAGCACGCCGAGATTGTTGACTAAAACCGATACCTGCAACAAAATCTTTCCATATTTTCCAAAGGCATCTCCCATAAGACCTCCATAAGAAGCAGACTTCCCTGCCCTGCTGAACCTAAGTATCAGTTCGATCGATGCCTCGGTCAAGAACGCCATGAAGATGATCATGGAGATCCCAAGGACAAGGCCCAACACTTTCATGGTGGCAGGCAGAGCCATGATCCCAGCACCAACAATGGTGGTGGATAAATTGAACACTGCCCCAGTAAAGGAAGCTCCATTGAACTCATCAAACCCTGCATCTTCCACTTGCTTTTTTGGCAACAAAGGAGCATTCTCATCAATCACTCCTTTGTGCTTTCTTGACTTCTTCTCCTTCTTTGGAGGAAGACTTCCAATTGTCATATTTTTTATATCTCAAAAACAGATCTTCCAAAACAAAGGTTTGAAGCTTATGGGAAATCCAGAAAGCAGCTCAACCACCCAACCAGTACTCTTTTTTTTTTTCTTTCAGAAAACTCAAGCTAAAGGGTAAGGTCTTCAGACAAAACAGCAAAAAAATCACCAATACCAAATCTTTCTGAGAGTAAAAAGGCTAATCTTTTGCAAATGATACCAAATTCAAAGGAAAATCAAATCCCAGGAGTAAAAGTACCCAAATTTAACCTAAAGTATCAGAATTTAATTGAAAATCCAAGTAGCTGAAGGTGGAATTTTTACAATCTTTAGCGGGATTTTTAATATGAACAAGGGGAGAAAAACCAAACCCCAATTTCCCAATATGCAAATTTGAGAAAACCCAGCTCTCCCAAAAACCAAAACCAATGAAAACCCAGAATTCAAAGACCCAATAACCTTTTAAAGATAAGCTAACCCAAAAACCAATGAAAACCCAGAATTCAAAAGTCAATAACTGAACAGACCCAGTAATCACAAAGAAACGTGACTGAATTTTTCAGGTGAAGCTTCCGTCTTTTATAGCCCAATTGAAAGGAAACGGAAGGAAAGAGAAGGGCACACGCAAATTATAAAGTTTTTGATATTGAAATACAATAACGGAGGTGGAGACAAAACTGCATTTTAATAATTTATTTGGGGATTTTTAACTTTTTTGTGGAATTATTGTGGATTGGTGAGATGACGATGAAACCCTAATCCACAGAATTCCACAAAATTGTGAAGTTGGGGGATTTTGGTGTGAAATTTACGGACTTTATAGAGTAGAAGTAAAGGCGTCCGCTATTGTCTACGTCAAATGAGGAGCTCTGTTTATTCACACAGATTTTTTACTCCTTATAGATTCTCGTTAATTCTTATATTATTATTTTTTAATTCGTTTGATTTGACGGTTAAAAATTAAAAAGATGTATAAAAAGTAAAAATAAATATATAAATAGTTCCACCTTATTTGAACCGGATTACGGATCACGAAGTTTATTTGAGATTAATCTAAATTACATTGAAGAAAGTCCGAACTTAAATGCATAGAAAAAGAAACTAGTCATTTTAGTCAATTTGGTTTTAATTCAAGTCTGCGAAATTTAAATATCATTAAAATGTTCATATAAGATTTTTATGGTTGTTGCAACTTGCATCACTTTGAAACTTTCCATGGTACCAAACAAAAAAAAAAAAAAAAAAAAAAAAAAAAAAAAAAAGAAGAAGAAAAATGTTGCTTTCTCAATTTTCTATGGTTTTCATGGCAACAAACCCAACTAACTTTGGATTATATTTAGTATTATACAAATCAAATTTTTTACCTTTATTATACTCTGAATCTGTTATTATGCTTACAATAATGACAACAAATAAGTTTATCTCATTGAGTGTGTCGGCTTAAAGAATTGTAGAACATTTTTTTCGATTTTGCACAAAGTCTTCCATTGCTTCATATATTTTTTAAAGAGAAATGTTATTGGTACTCCAAAAATCTCATTCTACACTCCTCACAAGTGTATTTTTTCTTTCAAAATATAGAAAGTTTGGAGTGTAGAATGAGATTTTTGGGATGTCAATAACAATTTCCTTTTTAAAAGTCTCTTTCAAAATATTTTTAGTTCTTTCTCTACATTTTTTGCCCTTGCCCTATGTTTCAAAGTTGCATCTTATAACCGAAAAATCTATAAATCTTCAATCCACATATTCAATCATTTTTAATCGATTTTTTCTCATTTTATTTTTAATTGCAGCTATTTCTACTTATTGTTAATACTGTAAGTAAATATTGCAGCAAATGTATGCCACAAATTATAAAAAGATTAGAGTTGATGTCATCCAAGGTGTAAAGGTCGAATTGATTGAGAACTGCATTAGTTTAATATGTGGCGTTCTCTAACGTAATTATGAACGTCAATTCAATTTTGGAATTTCTCATTGAGTGGGCCAAAAATTGATACATAGTCGAATAATATTCGTAAGATATTTCTCATAAAAATATTATAAATTTTGTATTCGATTTCTTCTAACCTCACAATAGTTATGTATAATATGAGAGTTGCTTTAATCAAACAGTCTCATCCAATATTTCTAAATTTCTGACACATCGAAAATCACCAACGTTCAAACTTTAAAAAAGACTTTTGGAATGCTAGAAATGGTGAGATAAACTATGTTTTTACTAAATTTATTGAATGAAAGGTCGATGAATACAGGGTCTCAGAAAGTTCATATGGGCTTGCTCACCAAATGACAAAGGAAAACAAACCGGCAAACTACGAAAATTACCCCAATTATTAATAAATTGTAATTTTGACCCTTTAAATGACTTCAAACACCTAAAATTCATCGTACGTTATCGTGAAATGTTTTGTATAGTTCGTCTCGCCGTATCGCCGCCATAATGGTTCTATGGACCAAATTATAACTTTAAGATCAAAAATTGCGCTAAACCAAATTTGTACCGTTAAACACCTCTTCTACGACCACCCTAAACCGGGTTTGTCCCTTTAAACCCCTCTTTCACCTAACATTACATAATCATCCAAGTAAGGAAAAGGATCCAAAAGGGATTCTTTTCCACCAAGCCCACCAAGGCACACAATTTAGGTATTTGAAATTTGATCCAACGGTTACAAACAGAAATCCACTTTAAAAGTTATAATAACTTTAACCGTTTGATCAAATTTCAAAAATTCAAATTGTGTGCCTTGATAAACTTGGTGGAAATGATCAGAAAGGGATCCTTTTCCATCCTAGTAAGATTACATTAAAAAAGAAGACCAAAGGTGATTAAGATATATAATATAAACATGAGGTGGTGGTTGCACCACGTGTAAAATTGGCGGTGCTGTAACTACAAGGAATCTTTAAGCAGTTCCTCCTTAACTCTTCTTCTTACGTCAGCTAATCTATGATTAGTGAGAGATTTAAAAGCTAAATCCGATTGGGGACAAAGCCACATTATTAAATCTATTCGTTTGGTGCAAGATTACCAACCAATTACCAATTTAAATAATGTTGAGTGGCCTCTTAAGACCAATATGGATCACATGTTAATGTGTCTGATTACGTGTTATGTCCGATTAATCTCATAAAAATATAATGTTCTTATTATATGAATTTTACTTAAATTTACGCTAGTTTCGTCTATTAAGAAATGACAGTTTTATGCAACCGTCCTACACAAGAATCTCATATATTTTAGATAGTGAGACCCTTCACCCCAATATTTTATCAAAGGATTTGGATCCTCTTCAATTGGTCGGGATCCTCCTGACCAATGTTAATGGACTGTTAGATTTTTATTCAACTGCTACAATTATTATATAAGGACGGCCTACCGTATTCATGATGAAAGAGGTCCATTCAGTTGGACGCGGTGACTCAATGATTATAGTTGTTTACTTTATAAAGTAGTGGTGCACAAATTTACACTGTTGCACTTTTAACTTATTTGTTGCTTGGTTATCGCTTTTAATTTATGGTTTATCAGATTTTTTTTTTTTTTAATACAACCGATATTTTTATAAGTATTACAAAAGTATTAAAGAATTTGTTTAAAAGTGCTTTTAAAATGGTTTAAAGTACTTTTAGTGAATATACTTTTCTACAAATTTTTGGTAAAAATACAAACAAAATTTGGAAAACACTTGAAGTGTTTCATGTAAGAAGTACAAAACTGATGCTTCTTATAGGAAGTACATAACTGGTTTTTCTTATATGAAACACTTCAAGTGCTTTGAAACGAAAAATATTTCTTCTAAAAACGATTTTAATTATTTTAAAAGTACTTCCAAACGAGATTTAAAGTATTAGCAATCATACACACACTATGCCTATGAAACATAAAACAGGAGAAATAAAATAATTGAGTGAAAAAATACTTACATATATTTAATACAACTATTACCTCAAATGTTATATTTAATCTTCTAATTTAATTATATTCACATGAATTATACATGACCGTCAGATAATTATTGTATCAAACGCATATTTAGGGCCGATTTAAGTTTTGTTTTTAGAAAGTTGGTTTCTTTCATCAAAAGGAAAAGAAAAAATGGTTTTGGGCCGTTTCAACATCATTTTGTTGTAGGTTTTTGGGCTCAAATCCCAAATTGAAGCCCATTTAAAAAATGTCCACACCCGCCGACCCAAAAGCAGCCCAAAATCCCAAGCGCGCAACACGTGTCATGCCAACCCAAAGGAAGCAGTTTTCCTTCCCTTCTCTCTTCGTTCCATCGTTTTCTGTCTGTGTTGTGTGTCTCTGCGAGCTCGAACAGAATCTCACACCCAGTTTTTCCAAAGGTACGAACTTGCTTTTGACCTTATAAACTCTTTTTTGCCACCGTCGGATCGAATTCGTCGACCAGGGGGATGAAACTGGTGTTTCTGAATCTATTTGCTAAGCATTCCAGAATCTGAAGAAGTACAATAAAAAAAATTTATGATTTTTTAATTTATTTATTTTTCTACCAAAACGGTGACTGAAATGTGATTACTGTAGTTGCTTCGTGTGTTTCGATTTGTTTTAAATTTCTTGATTTGGGATTTCAAATGGGTAATTAAATTCTTGATTTTGGAATTTAAAGACAATTCCTTTCCTGCTTAGTTCAAATTTAGACTTTTGTTTATGTAAAATACAATCAAGAGAAACGCTAAGGGACTCTTTCAAAAGTGAACTCTTCATGACTCTATGTCGCCTCACAGTTTAACATCAATTACGGTGCCTTGCAGGTTTTTTATAAGGTTGGCACGGAAATTGATGTTAAACTGTGAGGAGACAAACAGTCTAAAGAGTCTCACTTTTGAATCAATATCAAATATCGGAGTTGAATATGGAGGCTATAATTAAAGACAGAGCTTCCTTATATAATGTGTTAATAATAATGTTTTTTTCTTTTTTCTTTTTGAACAAATTGTTAGTAGCAATGTTAGGTGTGGATGTTTACCTTATTTATTCAACCATGTGAACTTAATTAGAGTTTTTTTCCTCACACGATTTTCTTTTCTTTTTAGGTTCATATGTTATTAACTGTTTTTGCTACTGAGGGAATCGTGTTTGTTAACGTGATACTCTCCATTCCGTTGTGTTGGTTGTCTTGTTATCGGAGATAAGTTAGTAATGTTTACCCCAACAGATTTATTTGCAAAGTTAAGCAGTTTTATTTGAACTTGAACTTCCCCATGGGTGACAACTTGTACATATTTACATACGGAGCTGCCTTTTTCTTTCTTTGTACCTGTTGATATTCAGGTTTTAGAATCACGTAAACAAGTGCGGTCTTAAAATGGATTATGGTGCTGGTCATGAAGCGAGTGTATCTGTCAATGATGTTAATATTGATGACCTGGAAGTGGAATCGAGTATAGCTTGCAATCTCGGAAGTGTCTCATCTGATGGTGTGGTTATTGGAGAATTAAGACATCTTGGCGAGGTTCTGACCCGAGTGGAGCTAGATCTAGCATGTGCATCTGAGAAGTTAGTTAATCTAAATGTTCTTATGATGCATGTGGCAACCAGGAGAGCGAGTTTGAAGCCTTTGCTTCCGAGGAAGAGCAGGACATCAGCTTATTATCTTGAGAAGGCTCTGGAACTCAGTCACTTATCTGGAATTTTAGACTCAGAGTTGAGTGAATTGGATAAACTCATGGCTATACTTCAAACAGAGATCACCAGTGCCCAGGGGATACTATCTTCATACACGTACTTGGGAGAAACTGTCGCGGTGATTGAAGAAAAGCTGTGCGACTCTGAACAATCATTGAAGCAGTTGCAAGATCAGGCCTATGAAATTAGGATGGAATCCTTGAATCTCCAGAGGGCATTTCCATGTTTTGACGGAGAACAAAATCGTAAGCTACAAGCCTTAATTCGGTTCTTGATTTTATTGTCAGGACCATGCTTTTCTCATTCTTATTTTGTTTATGAGTGATGGAGTTGCCCGAAATTTATGGCATACGCCAGGCAGGTTTTATAACCACTTTGGTGCGCACACAAGTCTTTGAAGTCGTGAAATATTCTAGAGTATAACTGTTTATTTTCTTTTGCATTCTAATGCATAGTGTATTGACAGGGAATGATAACGAAGAAGTGGTTGGCTTTAGAGCATGACAAAGTTTCAAGCACGAATGTAAAGATAAAAATGCAATCTGTTGAACAGCAAAGACATATTCTGAGGATGCTAGAGAAGGCTTTGGCAAGAGAGATGGATCTTGAAAAGAAACTGACCAAATCAAAACAAATTGAAGAAGATCTAAAACTGAGGGTGCACTCTTCGGAGCAAGAAGCATATTGCATGGAGGAGGAAGCGGCAGATGCTTTGGGTAGGTGGTTGCAGGCAGATAATGCATCTGAGGTCCTGATGGGTATTTCAAAAGAGCTGTTGGGTAGACTCCAGGTTCTCCAGTTTAATTTAAATGGTTCAGCTCAGCGAGAAGCTGAGCTGAGATCAAAACTCAACGGTCAGGCTGAAGCCAAAGAAAACACATTGCGGAAGCTTGAAAGCAGCAACGCAAAACTGAATAGCTTCCTTCTAGAACAGACAGCCGGCTTAAAAGACAGCTTGAAGGAAGCTGAAGATAAGTTAATTATTGCTAGTTCTGAGGCCTTTACTGTGAGGGAAAAGGTCAGTGCACTTGAGGAGCAGCATAATGTTGAAGTCAGTGAATTGGAAAATGTTATTGCTGATCTGAAAGAGAATGTATCAAAAGCTGAAGCTAGGGCCAAGAATGCAGAAGCCAAAAGCAAATTATTAACAGAGACTAATACGGAACTTAATGAAGAGCTCGGACTTCTTAAAAGCGCTGGCAGTCCCTTGGAGATGGTGGATTCACTTGAGAGAAAGTTACGGGAATCTAATATCCAGTTACAGCATGCAGTGGCATCTGCTGAAGCTAGCCAGGAGAAACAGAACATGTTGTATTCTACAATCACTGACATGGACAGTGTGATTGAGGATCTAAAGCAGAAGGTTTTAAAAGCTGAAAATCGGGCTGACATAACGGAAGACAAGTGTATAATTTTATCAGAGTCCAATGCAGATCTAAATGAGGAAATAAGCTTTTTGAGGGGTAGATTGGAATGCTTGGAGGCATCTTTACATCAAGCCGAGGAAGTAAGAATAGCTACTGCGGCTGATATTGGTCTTCGGTCCAAAGTTCTTACAAATTTATTGATGCAACTTGCTTTTGAGAGAGAGCGCCTTCATAAGCAGGTATTCACCTTTCCTATATTTGATCAATTCTTCAAGTTCAAGGTTGGTTTTTGACTATGAAGTGGGAAACTCTCCTTTCGTTGTTTCTCTCACATGACTTGGACAACTTCTTTTTTCCTTTGTTCACTTATTAGTATTTAGGTGAAAAGGCGGGTAGTGTGTTTTTCCAACTCTAGAAATGTTCACCGTAGCTGCTGGTGATTGAATGTGCAGATCTCTTCTTTAGCGATGGAGAATAAAACTTTAAAGCTGAAGTTGCAAACAAACAATTCTCGTTCTGTGGTCATTGGGAATGATGAAAGAGAAAGTCGTAAAGATTCGAAGCATGAAATGGCTACTGGTACAAGAGAAACTAAGGAAGAAGATGAGTCTGCTAGCAATTCTAAGGTCGGTACTGTGATGAACCCTGTTTGACTTCTTAAACTGTTGCCTTGCTTGTTTTGTTAATATTTCAATGTTATTTTTGTCTTTTAAATTAAGCTTTTCAATGTTATACTTCTCATGCTTCAGGAATGCATTTATTTTTTGCGAAGCAATGTAACTTCATATTCAGTGTTCTCATTTTTATATTGACCAAAAAAACAAAACTATTTCTCTTCGTACCTTCTGCAGTAGTAAAATGGCTTCTGTATTTGTACTTTTCAGCTGGATAGGACTCAGAACAATGCATCTGTTGGTGAGAGTCGTGAGACTAGAGTGGAACGTACTGACTCTACATCTGAGTTCGAGACCGTGAGGAGAATAGATGCAGGAGTGCTAAGCCTTAAGCATTTACTCATGGCAACGTTCATTCTACTGGTTTCGGCTGGAGCTTATCTTTTTCTCCATCAAGACTGCCTATTTTGATGTTGCTGCAGGAGAAAGAAAATGGAAAAAGAAAGCTTACATTCTGAATTTGCTCGGGGCGATGTGATGCAGTGCACTGTACCTAAGGTACAATTCAGAGGAGATGATGCGATGCATAGTACCTACGGTACAATTTTGAACTGAAGTTATACGCTGACTACCCTTTGGCAACTGAGACATAGCTAGATACTTTTTGATATCCTCTGTTGTATCATCGTAAAATCTCCGGTAGCGTTAATAGTCCTGCTCGTCGGAGGGGGGAGTTTTTGCTCCACTGAAGTTTCGTTGTAACTTGTTGGGTAATTAGGTGGTAATTACTTGAATCATGAATGTAAACAAGGAAGCAACTTCAATGGTAGTTTTTAACTTTTCACCATTTATGAATGTTGAATGCTAATAGTGTTTTACCGAGTTTGCAAATCCGTGGATGTTTACGAATTTGTTTCTTTATGATTGCCTATGCTTCATAGCTGTTAAAACAAAGAAACAAACGAGAAAATAGAAACAAATCTGAGATTATGTTTTTGTTTTTGATTTTCACGTATGAGTTTTAATTCATTTTGATATAAAACCGAGAAACTAATGTAACGTTCCATCAAAGCCATTGGAGTTAGTCCAAGTGGCGAGGAAGGGTGGGGTAATGCGTTAGGATTATGATACGTCAAAGTGGCCTCCTCTCTTTCCCTCAGCAAGGCCTCTGGCTTTAGACAAGAAGAGATTTGTGTTGGGAATTTTAGGGCTTGTTTTCATTGCCTTTGTAGGTGCAATTATTCATACCAAATATTTGGGTAGCTTTTGAGTTCAGTGGTGCAAGTACGACTGTGCAACCATGGGAGGGCCAGTTACATAACTTACATTCATTGTTTTGCCTGCTTCCATCACTCTCAAGCGAGTCAAACTTTTTCTTTCTTCAACTAGAGTTAAAACTCACTTCATTTTGCTAGAACCCGTTGTAAACTTTTAATCGAAAACAGAACTAGAAGAACACTAAACCAACCATAAACCGTACACAGAGAAGTGATTTCCGCACTCATTTTTACCTTCCGCATTTCTCCCATCAATTATGTCCCTTGATTTTCATTTTATGCAATCCAATGATTAGGAAAGAAGAGAGGAATGCAAAAGGTGAATAGAGAGTGCTGAGTTCACTTCCCACCGTAGATAAACCGAAATTTAGTGCTCCTTTATCGTAAACTTATTGTCTCTTAAGTTTTATTCTCAATTAAAAGTTTGTAACCAATTTCATTTGTGTATATATTCTAAAGTTTTTATGAGATATTGATTTTTCTCGTATCATATTCTCCCTTGAATTTGGTGTGTTTGAGGGATCCTCATTGTATAGCAACTACAACGGACAAGATTGATTACAGCTTAGAACTAGAATTTGGTTCGTCAAGTATAAATGCACACATCTTTATTCCGTTTCAACAACTTTGGTATCTTTTTATTCTTTACATACAAAAGAATCGGGCCATACAAGAAAAACTTGTCTATCACGGCTTCATATACAGTTTTTGTAGTTTAGTCGCTTGGTAAGAGAGACGAAATAAAAAGGGCATCAATTAGGACTTTTTTTCCTTATTTGCTCGTAAGACAGGAAACAAGATGTCATTTTCTCTCTAGAAGTGATCTACATGCAACACTTTTCTCTCATGCAATTGAGATTTATTAAAGAATTATTTTAGCCAAAAGCCATAAATGACTGAACATGACCTAATTTTAAGCATCTGTTCGCTGAAATGATCATTTTTTTTGTTAGTATATCGTCCATATATCATGGTTGTATCACCAAAATTCCATCAATATGTCGATATATGTGAATTTTAAAAAGTTGAACAATTGAAATTTAATTTACATTATCCGCATCCTATTTCCAATTTTCCGTACACCAAAATTTTTGGTGTTTCCAATTTCAACACACGTCTAATTTAACATGCCAAACCGGTTGGCGTGGCCTATGAAGCATCCTCCGCCGACGGTGACCACCAGACCACGCGTCGCGATCTCAACCTCTCTTGTAACTTGGAAACAGGAGTTTCTACTTCCTCGTACGAAACTCCAACTAGAGTCTACAGCACGTGCAGTAAGCTTCTTCCATTTATTGGAACTTCAGCTTTAAATCTAATAAAAAACAAGATTTGGATGACGATGACGTTGCTGTCGTCGATCGTACTTTTGGAATTCGCACACAGATCACTAGCCTCACCTAACTACATGTCGTATTCCGATCGAATGCGAACTCTCACTGACGAATGAACGATTCATGTACGCAAGCACATATTGTTTGACTGGTAGTTCAACTTCTTGAGTTCCACGGTTTGAACTTTCAGTCTTAAATTTTATGAACTTGCAGTTTTTTCATTTTTTAAGTTCGATTTCTCCCAAGATTTGATAACCCAGTTGCCCTTTTCGATTACAGTTCACAGTTCTGAACCAAAAACTTGGATCAAATTTGATGAACTGATAAAGTTTGAAGCTTTTGATAAGATTAGAGTTTTGGAGTTTAGAGTTGTGCGTTGGAATATGAGTACTAGAGAAGATGATGAGAACCAAAGCACCCCATTGCTGCCCACGAGTGAGAACGCAGAAGTTGAAGCTGGGTTTGCCGAGCCCGGCAAACCCAGCGGAGGAGCTTCGTTCCATGGATCTGTGTTCAACTTGTCATGCACGGTTATCGGTTCCGGGATCATGAGCCTACCTGCAACCCTAACCATACTGGGACTGATCCCGGGAGTCGCGTTGATCGTCATTGCTGCATTCCTGACAGAAGCATCCATTGAGATGCTGCTGAGGTTCAGCAAGCCCGGTTCGGTGTTTTCGTATGGTGATCTCATGGGGGAAGCATTTGGAAAAGTTGGGAAGGTTTTGGTTCAGATTTGTGTTATTGTCAACAACATTGGTGCTCTCACTGTGTATATGATTATAATAGGTGAAACTCTCAATGCCTTTTCTTCTTATGTTTATGTTATGATTTGACCCCCTCGTCTTTCAGTTTGATTCTGAGCCCGCCTAATCTTTTAAAACGCGTCAATTCAAGTGGGAAAAACTAATAGAAAATGTGTGAATTTGAGTATTAGGGGAAAATTGGCGCGTTTTAAAATATTAGGGGCTTAAAACCAAACTGAAAGACCAGAGGGCAAAAAGGAAAGAGGCGATACTAAGTGCAGAGGTATGGCTAAATTTTTCCGTGTTCTAAGGCTCGAATATTGTATGAATTTTGCTAAGCTACCAGGTTAATTCTTTCTTTTGGTGAGCAGAGGATGTTCTTTCCGGTTCGACTTCAAGTGGAGTTCATCATGCCGGCATTTTAGAAGAGAGGTTAGGGGTGCATTGGTGGACCGGGCGTGCTTTCGTTCTGGTTAGTCCTAACCGTAGTTGTATTTGTTCCGTTGGTATGTTTTAAGCGCATCGGTTAGTATCTCTTTCGTTGTTGTAAGAATCTACTGATGTTAAGTTACTTGTCTCCGTTTACCAACAAAAAGACCAATCTTTTAAGTTCTTTTCTGCAGATTCACTGCGATTCACGTCAGCTATATCGGTTGCACTGGCAGTTGTTTTTCTTGTTGCTGTCATCGTGATCACAGTGTACAAATTCGTACTGGGAAGCATAGAGAAACCTGCATTGTTTCCCAGTGTTACTGATTTGCCTTCCTTTCTTAATCTTTTCACTGCATTCCCTGTTGTGGTTTTTGCTTATGTCTGCCACTACAATGGTAAGCAAATTGATTCTATCCTTATAGAGCGGAATTTGTAGGAAAGTGAAGTTTCGTAACAAGATTATCATCAAAACATAATTATACGATTTGCGATCATCCAGATTAAATTATCTGATACGTTTAGTTTGTTTAAGTCAGTCCTCCTCCAGTGCGGTTGACTACACTTTTCTAAGTGCAGTCAAGTAAGTTTAACGGAGACATATCCACATTTTGAAAAAGTGTAGTTAATCGCACCTATGTCAAACAAACTCATGATCCCTCAATTTTGATGCAGTTCACACCATACAAAGTGAGCTCAAAGATACTCCAACAATGCCAGCAATCGTGCGTGCTACAGTTGCTCTCTGCGCCGTTGTGTATGTGATGACAGGCCTGTTCGGGTTCCTCCTCTTCAGGCGACTCAACTCTTTCCGACCTGCTCTCCAATTTTGACACAGACCTTGGCATTCCATACAGCTCCGTCTTCAATGACATCGTGCGAATCAGTTATGCCGCCCATATTTTACTTGTGTATCCCATTGGTTTTTTCCCTCTCCGGCTGAACTTGGACGGCCTTCTCTTCCCCTCAGCCAGACCGCTGGCTTCAGACAACGTAAGGTTTTCGTTGATCAGCGCCGGAATCATTGCTATCACCCTCTTGGGTGCAATATTCATACCGAGCATATGGGTAGCTTTTGAGTTCACAGGTGCAACTGTTGGAGCTCTGCTTGCATTCATCTTCCCTGCTTGCATTGTTCTCAAGTGAGTCCCTCTTCCTTTCCTTTACGCTGATATTTCTTGCACATAGCCACCTTACCTACACATAAACTGGGATGCCTCTATGGCGGTATTTCCACAGCAATCAGGCAATCACACGCCAAGCGTTTTAACCAATGCACATGTCTGTGCGTGATTGATTTAGAAAACTGCTACAACGGCTCCTCTAAGTGTTTAAATCGTAATGTAACGACAATCTCACATTTTGTTTCATCCCAAATCGTCGGAAAAATTAAGAAATTGAACATTTTGTTTCAGGGACCCTCACGGAATAGCATGGAGAAAGGACAAGATTTTGTCAGTGTTCATGATCATTCTCGCTGTAATCTCAAGTGTGGTAGCCATTTATAGTGATGCATATTCATTGTTGACATAGCAGGGGTTCTCAACTTATCAATTGAAACATGTCATATATGTGTGTGTATAGATACAAAATAAATAAATACATAATTCAGCAACACACAACTCCAACCACCTCATCTGTTCAAACCCTTCTAAACCCCAATCATTCCAATTTCGACCCATCCCCAACTCCCACCGTAACCTCCCTACCACCCACAACAACTTGGAAATTAGGAGAACCTTATCCCGTGACAACCCACCATCAAAAAGACTCAAAAGAAATTCATGACAATATTTTTTTTTTGAAAAATTCATGATAATATTAAAATTGTGATTCTACACATATATTGTACACTCAATGGTCCAACACAGTTAAATTTAATCAATCAACAATTTTGACAGAACTCAGATGTGTTAGAAAGGCTATTTAGAAGAGGGAGTTGTTGTGTGGCTTGGAAATAGTCGAGAGAGTGGTAGTGATGACCTTTGGGTTTTCATTATGGGTGGTAGGGGACGAGTAGAAATTAAGGGTGGTTGAGGTTTCGAAAGAAAGGGCGGCTGTAGTCTTCTAGTGCAAGAATTTTTTTTTTTGGAGTTTTAATGAAACACTTCTGGTACTGTTTATTTTTAATGAATAACCACATTTTTATTTTTCCTTGATACTATTTACTACACCTTTATTTGTCATTTTTCATTAAAACTAAAGTTTTTTTTGAACATTTCGTTAATTTTCCTTTTTATTTTTTAATTTTTCTAATTTGCATACAACAAGAAAATTATTAAGTACAATTGAAATTTTTTTTTTTTTTGGTAAAGGATAATAAGTTAAATGTAAAAAAAAAATAAATGCGTCTGAATAAAATTTTTCAAAATAAAAAGAAATAAACTGCTTCACACACAAAATCGAACCCAATTCAGTCGGGTCCGAACCGAACCCGAAGTTCCAAATTCCAATGGCTGCTGCTGAGAAGGAAGAGAAAAAAGACGAGCTCGCCGAGTCTATCAACGATCTCTTCGGCAGCGTCTCCGCCATGGTCGAATCGGAGCTCCAGGGATCGACCAACCACCTCGATCTCCTCGAAAAGATGAACCTGCGAGTTGCCGAAGAGTACAAGGGATTCGGCGACGTGGCGGCGGGGCTGAGCGTGTTCGTGGAGCAGCTCAAGGCCAAAAGCTGCGGCTTCGAGGAGTACGTGAAGCAGATCGACGTCATCGAGCAGCAGGTGACGGAGTTCGAGGCCGTGATTTCGGTGCTCGACAGATACGTGTCGATGTTGGAGTCCAAAGTCCAATCTGTTCATCAGAATCCTCCGGTTTCCTGAATTCGAAAGTGTCTCTGAAAATTGTTCTTTTGTTTTGTTTGAACTTTGTGGCAATGTGTACATTTTGAAACGAGGTTTCCACAACGAACTTCGGAATGTTTGAGATTGCTTTAGGTTGATTGTAAGTACTTCTGCTAAAAATGCTTTTACTAGAAGCACAATAAAGTTTTTATCTTAAATCTGAATGCTTGTCAGAAAAGCGCTTGGAAATGCTCCATGAAACCAGATGGTTATTTTTTGCTAAGCACCGTCAGAAGCGCTTTTACCCATTCCAAAAGCATTTCCAGACATGCTCAAGTTTTGGCAACTCTAGAACGAGGTTTGCTTTGAACGGTCCTCCCTGAACATGGACGTGAACGACTGTCAAGCGTTGAAGCACAAATCAATTAAGCACGTGAGCGGAGACGCTAGCATTCGCCATCCATAGATGGTCATAGAAGTATAATGGTAAAATTTACAAGTATACATCCAACTGGTTCAAGTCATGAACAAGATGAACGACATCAGTTAACGGCGATAATAAGAAAACTTGTTACTTGTTTTGTAACGAGAAGGCTGCGGCATTCTTCTTCCGTCTTTGCAAATTTTGCAACATCATAGCCCGGGTTTTCCCATCGGGTTGCAGACCGCTCTCGCGCATCTTTGCGTAAAGCTTCTTTGCTAGTTCTGTTTTGCCTCGTAAGCACATTCCTTGAATGACAGCGTTATAGAGCGATGCATCTGGTGCAGCACACTGCAGAACAAAGTACACATTATGAAGGTCATTATCTTTGGGCAATGAGAGTCCAAATAACCTTGAAAGAACCATGTCGTTAAATTTCTTCCCTATATAAGTGGGGATATCGACAAAACAAAACACAGGTGACGCGAAGTACGTTTCATCAATAAAGTTAAGCATTACTGACGGTGGGAAAACGGTAGGAAAAACAAATGATCCAGTTTCGGGTTCACTTGTTTTATACAAGCTTTCACGAGAAATTAAAGAAAACTAACACAACCCTGAAAAATTAAGGAAACAAAAAAGCTTACGTTGAGGATTTCCTCGACTTCATCCCAGAGAGAACCCCAAATGCAACCTCGTATTAGTGACAGATGAGTAAATGTGTCTGCGGTGCACTTCTGGTGAACCATGTGCTCGTAAACTTGCAGTGCAACTTCAGGTTTCCTTGCCCTCTCACAAGCACTGATTACAAGATTATATGACGCAGTTGAAACTGACTGCCCAGAAGCTTCTAATTGCCATAAAAGCTTTAGAGCTTTATCCCATAGACCGAGCTTCGAACAAGACATTAAGGCCGTATTGTACAAATGAGAGTTTAACTGAGAGCCCTGACTTGTCTTGATACTCTCATAAAGCTTAAGAGCTTCACCGTGTCGATTTGCTCTATACAGTGCACCAAGTAATGCATTCCATGTGTAAGTGTCGGGTGAATGACCCAAAGATTTCATGATGTTATATACCTTGAATGCTAGTTCAACCTCCCCAGCTTTCCCAAGTGAATTTATCAATGCATTGAATGCAACTGGATTTGGCTTGAGTCCACTGTTCAACATATTATCGAAGATGTTTAGCGCAGTATCCCACTTTCCGTCCTTTGAGCATGCACCGATGATAGCGTGCATTGTATCATCCCCTGGTTCAAAATCATTTTGAATCATTTCATCGTAAGCATCAAGAGCTAGCTCATGCTGACCACAACGAACAAAAATGCTAACTAAGAGGCAATAAGTAACTCGTGTTCCAGCATGGTTGTTCTCCTTAATACGTCTCCACAATCTCTCGGTTTCACGCCAATTCTTCACTTTACCACAAATCGATATCATAGTGTTATAGACGATGGTATCAAAAGCATCTCTTGCTTCACTTTCCTCTTCCATTTCCAAAAACATTTCGATAGCAGAGTCACAGCCCTCAACAACAGAAACTGCCTTAAGTACTAAGCTATAACTATGCCCCGTGGTCAACCTCTTTCTCTCATAAACTCAAAAACCCTCAAACCGTCATCAAGCAGCCCGTTTCTCAAGAGGCAAGACAACAGCGAATTACAAGCATGTAAATTAGGAAGAAGGCCTGCTAGTTCCATGGAAGTAAACAGTTCCAACGCACTTCGAGTCTTATTTGTTCTACTAAGCACCAAAATCCGCTTCGATAATGTTTCTTCATCCATCTCCTCCAGATAACCAACCCTGTCCACATTCAATGTAGCCTTCCTATTCAAATTCGACTCAGGCTGGATCACAACCTCAGGTTCTACATCCAAGTCCTTGTCAAATTCCAACTCTCCCCAAGGAGGCAATTTTTGCTTAACAAAAGCAGCATCATCACCATATCCCCGGTTTCGAATCAATTTATCTTCTTCCTCTTCCTCACAAACCAACCCAGACTGCACACCAGCCACCATGTTCTGCAATGTCAGAGATTTCGCCTTCCTTGGCAACAACAAATTGGGCAACCACATGGAAACTAAGCACTTTTGAGAAAGCTGAAAGCTGATTTTACGGTTAGAACTCGATGGACTACATGGTTTGTGTTGGAGATTAAACCCATTTGCATTAATCACTACGGAAACTGAAACCCTCATCACCTCCCCCATAAACCCAGAATTAAAAACTAACACATGAACACATAAAGATTACAAATTTGGCATTTCTTCGATCATACGAACTGGGTTTTGTGATACAACTCACCTGAACAGCATGACCCAATTGAAGAATTCTAAGCTTCCAGCAACACAACAGCTTTCTGAAGCTCCAAGCAAGTATTTTGCGATACGGAAATTCTAAATTGCAGGGAAATTTTCTGTTTGGTAACCCAGAAATATCGAGAAAATCCGGAAACTGGAAAATTGTATCTTAAATTCAATGCCTTAAGAGCCGCCCAGTTCAAACTTGTTAGATTACACTCATCTTCATCTTGCATACAGGAGAGAGCAAAATATCTGCATTTTTCTGAAGAGGTACCCCTGTTAAATCTCCATACGACGGCGTTTTACAGAATATTTTAAATTTGAAGTAGGATCTAAACTTTTTTAATTTTGTGGAATCACCCCATCTGAATTTAACTTTTTTAATAACTAACCACCTAAATTTCACCTTGTGTTTGCAATTTCGTACCCAAACTTTTTAAGGGTTGTTTTCACAAAGGCATTCCTTGTCATTTATCAAGATCTTGTACGGTAGTGAATAGTTATATTCGGAACAGGATCCTCTTTTGAACTAATGGTGAGGATCCTTTTGAGTAAACTCATCGGACCGTTTAAATTTTATCCAACAGCTACAAATATGATGTCCTTCTAAAAGTTATAATAATTGTAACCGTTGGATAAAATTTAAACAGCTTGATAAGCTTACTCAGGAGGATCCTTACCATTAGTTCAGGAGAGGATCCTTATCCGTTATATTCAAGCTAACCTTCTTTATCAAACGAGGCCAAAGGAGATTAAAGTCGACAAAAGTGCTAAATTGTAATAAATAATTTGTTCAGTTGGTAATTACCTAAATTAAAAAAGTGAAGTGTCATTTGTCACGTTACAAATAAGCGCCAAAATACCAACCCGGCCCAGAGGCCCAACCCATTAAAATTTGGCGGTCGGCGCGTCTCCAACTTCCCTACGACTCCGCCGCTCTCTCTGAATTCCAATGACGAACGCCATGGGTTCTCCGCCAGTCTTCGACTCCGAAACCCTAAACACCGAACCGGCCGGAACGTCGTCGTCTTCGACCACAATGAAGCCCCCAATGGGTCCCCCGCTTCCCAAAAACCCTAGCCCTCCGCCACCACCACAGTCCGAAGCCCCAATCCCCGAAGACCAGCTCCAATCCAGTCCCGCCGTTAACGATTCAACCGAAGCAGCCGAAGAAAATGCCAAGCAGTCCTCAAACTCGAAGCCGCAATCTCACGGCGTCCCGATTCCGTACACGATTCCGCCGTGGAGTGCAGCTCCGTGCCACCAGTTCCAGCTCGAGGTTCTCAAGGACGGTGCTATCATCAGCCAATTCGATGTGTAAGCTTTTTCCTCTTCTTCAAGTTTCAAATTTCAAGATTTTAGTTGTTTGTGATCGAAAATTTCGAATTTCTGTTGTGATTGAAAATTTTGAAATTTCAGATACGAGAAAGGAGCATACATGTTTGGCCGAATCGACCTCTGCGACTTTGTGCTGGAGCATCCGACTGTTTCTCGCTTCCATGCCGGTAATTAACCGCCTCTTTCGCTTTGCATTTTAGCTTGTTTGTTGTGGTTTTGTTATATAGATTCAATAAAATTCTTGGGCCTGTTGCATTGTAATAGATTTTGGTGCCAAATGTGTAATAACATGTTAATTTTATGTTTTCACTCTTTTGTTTAGTTCTTCAGTTCAAGAGAAGTGGGGAGGCGTATATTTACGATCTTGGGAGTACTCACGGCACTTTCGTTAACAAGAATCAGGTACTTATGTGCAGATGATTGCTTTCCTGGCTTTTAATCCCTACTGTTTTGTCCAAAAATGCAAACACACATTGACCTGGGAAATCTTAGAGTTGTTTTCAAATTAGTAATTAACTTTGTAGTGTGGATGGCTAGGGTTTTGTTACACTCTATATACAAAGGCTCTGGATTGTTCCTAATGGTATTCTCTTGCCTAATAATCAGGTGAACAAAAATGTTTACGTTGATTTACATGTTGGTGATGTCATCCGTTTTGGGCTGTGAGTATCTTCTTATCTTAACTCTCACTTCCTTTGTGTATCTTCTTAGGTGTGTAACTGTATTAGATTATGAGACATAGGCATTCGATTTAACAATTTTTAATTACTTGAGATTATTTTGAGGAACCCAACGTGATTAATTCATAGTCAACTGCTAGATGCTTAGATTTGGACCTAAAATGCCTTGTCATTGTAGAATAATACATGTCTTTCTCGTATGAAACACTTCTCATAATTGTCTTCTTCTTTCTTTTTTTTAGTTCAACTCGTCTGTACATTTTCCAAGGACCATCCGAGCTGATGCCACCGGTAAGACTTTCTTATTTAAATTCATTAATGCTTTAATTGGTAATACATATGTATTATTCACTGACAATGATCTACATGAAATTTGCATCCAGCGGTAAGGATCTACATGAATTTTCAAACTTTTAGAACAGAGCATATACTCATGAATAGATCATGGATTAATGTTTGGTTGTATGTAGGAAAAAGACTTGAAGCTTTTAAAAATAGCCAAAATGCGTGAAGACATCCTAGATCAGGAAGCATCACTTCAACGGGCAAGACATGAAGCTTCTCTTGCTGATGGCATCTCATGGGGCATGGATGAGGATGCTATTGAGGAAGCTGAGGTTTGTGGGGTTTTATGATCACATCATTTTCATATGCGTTTTGGATATAAATTTACATGAAATGTATTACATATCCTGCTATTTTCTTTCAAGTCTGATGTTTTTTATTTTTTCCAATGATGAATTGAAAGAAGATAATTATATTGTACATATTACTGACTTTATGTGGTTTTGGAATTTTAGGATGACGGTGAGGAAGTTACTTGGCAAACATACAAAGGACAGCTAACAGAAAAACAAGAAAAAACCCGCGAAAAAGTACTTAAAAGATTGGAAAAGGCAAGTGGTTTTGATTCTTCTTCTTTTCTTTTTTTTATCTTTTTATTAATGAAATGCTATCTTCCCTCGTATGTTAGACCATTTTCTTTCCCATTATATATATCCTCAAGATACGTTTTTTAGAAATGAAATACCGTCTTCCTTGTATGTTAGGTCCCTCTGTTGTAAATTGTTTTTATCCTCAAGATATCTTGTTAGCATCTTATTGGTATTCAGAAAGGTCACAACCAGTGTACCTGTTATGAGAATTTATAAAAATTGTATATATTGCTTGGTTTCTGAGGAGAGCAACAATTCAAGTAAATTAATTATAATGGTAGAAATAGAGCACCTATTAAAATGGTTGAAAGTGCTGCTTGTAGCTGTAATCTATCGATTTCTTCATTCCGTTAATAGGTTGGTCATACCCGCATTAGTCATCTCAATTATGTGAATTCCTCCACCTTGTTTACCTGCTGTAGTTCTCATGTTACTGTGTTTAAAGATACACAGCGTGACCTTGACAAACCTGACCCCTTCTTCTCATTGGTTTCCATTTTTTAATGGGGAGATGGAAAGATGAAAGATTGGGAAACTTCTAAAGGTTGATGATAGAAAATTTGTTTTTACATAGTACAGAGGTATTCTCTCCTTTATCTAACGTTGAAATGGATACCAATCAAATTATTCTATCAGAAACATAACAAACGATTTTTTATAAAGGTCTTTAAGCTTTATGGTCAATCTTTGTGTATGTTGTTATGAAAACTTCTTGTCCTATCCTTACCATTTCATGTTTCTTCTTGTAGATTGCTCATATGAAGAAAGAGATAGATGCTATTCGTGCTAAAGACATCCCTCAAGGTGGGTTGACTCAAGGACAACAAACTCAGATTGCTCGAAATGAACAGAGAATGGAACAGGTAAAATTCTTCGCAAATAGGCATACACTGGTCCATTTCTTCTTTAAATTGGTAGCTGATAAACTGAAGCACAAATGTTGTTGCGTCCATCAATTCCAAAGGGAAAAGAGACGTGGGGCCTTTCTGGTTAACATGTTATCTGTTTAAATGTTTAACAGATTATGGAAGAACTTGAAAATCTGGAAGAGACGTTGAATGAGAGTATTCGAGAAAGTTTAGGTGCGCGTGTTGGGAAACCATCTCATGGTAAGAAGAAAGGAGCAGTTGAAGAAGAAGAAGAACTTTTGAGGTATTTTATTAATAACAAAAACCTTGGCAAAAGTGTTGGAGGGTTTTTTGTGTTGATCAGGGTATCCCTACAACAGCAATCATGGAGTTGTGATTTTCGTAATCATCTGTGAATTTTGATTACTATAGAAATGGCATCCTTTAACTGTCAATTTGATATGGTTTCTCAGTTTATTTTTGTTAATGGTTGAAAGTCTTTGTTACTTTGCAGTGATGATGATGAATTCTATGACCGAACAAAGAAGCCTTCAAGTAAAAAGGCATGGTGAAAACCAAAGTGTTGAAACCGCTGACTCTCTTCTCGACAAGAGAGATGTGATCGTGAAAGAAATGGAAGAGAAGAAAGAATTGCTTTTAGTTGAGAAAGCCAAAATGGAATCAGAAACTGTAGAAAAAACTGATGCTGCAGATGCACTGGATGCATACATGTCGGGGCTTTCAACTAAGCTAGGTGAGTTTTTTGTGCTACCACCGATTTGTTAATAATTGGTTATAGGTGAGTATTTTGTGCTTTCACTTATTGTTGCTTCTTTCCTTGTTAGTGCTTGATAAAACCGAGGAACTTCAAAAGGAACTATCAGCTCTCCAGTCCGAGTTGGACAGGGTAATGTTCCTTTTGAGGATTGCTGACCCAACTGGTGAAGCTGCCAAGAAAAGGGATTCAAAAGTGCAAGAGGTGCAAGAGGTGCAAGAGGTGCAAGAGGTGCAAGAGTCTAAACCTATCAAATCTGAAACTCCTGCCGCTGCCCTAAAAAAGCAACCTCCAATCAAACCAAAGGAAAGTAGCAAACCCAAACAACCAGCAAATGACTCTATACTGAAAGAGGGAACTACAGATGTTACCACGAATCCAGCTGCTGCCGAGATTGTAACTGATGCAACAGAAGGAGAAAAAGTTGTGTATACTGTTGCAAAGCCACAGTGGCTTGGGGCTGTTGAGGACAGTAAAACTGAGGAGAATCGTCAAGAGGCAGCACCTGCAGCGCCTTCAGATGAGCACGAGGCTGATGGATTTATCGACTATAAAGACAGGAAAAAGGTTTTGGAGACGGAATCTGGGATTGAAAATGCTGCCCCCGGTTTGATTATACGGAAGCGGAAACAAGTTAAAGAATCTGAAGGTAATGACAATGATTCTCGTTTGGCATCCTCAACTGGACCTGAGTTCATGGCAGAGGATGCTGTGGCACTGTTGTTAAAACATAAAAGAGGCTATTATGCACCAGATAATGAGAGCCAAGACGTTTCAGAAGGGAAAAAGTCGAGCAAGGATAAGAAGCCTAAAAGAGTTCTTGGTCCCGAGAAACCTTCATTTCTCGATACTAATACTGAGGAAACGTGGGTGCCTCCTGAAGGTAATGCTATTTTGATTCTATGTTCTTGGTTATTACCTAATGTCTTTTTCGCGTTTGGGTGGAGAAGAGTAACGACTGCTGAATTACTGATTGCTGCTATGTTCTCTTTTTGTTCGAAAAATTATAATGGTGCTTATCTATATGTTTCATTCAGGACAATCTGGCGATGGACGAACATCCTTGAACAGTCGATATGGTTACTAGATTCGAATTCCTGTGGTCAAATTGACAGATTATTGTTTGAATGATCGTTTCTACACCTATAATGTCATCGATCGTGCTAGAACAGGGGGACGCAATGAGGGAGTAGTTTAGTAGCCATAACAGTTTAGGGACGGATGTCGAACCTTTGTAAAGAGAGATGAAAGGCACAGCCAGATATATCTGAATTACTGTTGCTTTACTTTCTGGTTTCAAAGCAAAGGTTAGCGCGAAATTGGTGCGATCAAATCCTTGGCTATTTGGGAAGTGCTTTTAATAGTGCTTTCAAATAATTAAAAGCACTTTTAGATCACCAAATGACAAAAAAGTTAGAAGTGCTTTCTGAAAGAAGCACCTGTTATGTCTTTTTTTGGAACATTTCTTGTTCTATTTAGACCTGCCCGGACTGAAACCCTTGACCATTCACTCTTTAGTCATTAATCTCGGTTTGCACCATAAGTGGTCCAATCAACAAATTTTTCCAAATTCTAAGGATCTAGCGCATAGGTAGTATTTCAGAGAGATTATCATAGAACAACTTTGCCGTTAATGTAGCATTCCGAGCCACTAATACAAGGTCATGTAAGGAGTATTGCATGTAAATTTGTATTAGTAAGTGATGAAGACACTATAACGGTAAACTCGTTCCATCTAAATTCTCGGTGTTTTGAGGAAACGGTTCCATCCCTTAGTTGTGTCTATGTGAATACAAACACGACACACAGCTGATATAAACTTGTATTTTCTATGATATAAATTTAAATTTTGATTCTCTGTAAAGGAATTGTCTCCCAAATATTTACACAACCAAATTTACCGCTCAAATTTACAGGAAGCGAATTAAAAACATATCAACACAAAACCATCTTCACCAGCAACCTGCAATATGACATGGCCCTCTGGCATTCTTTAGACTATATACCGCCCGAATCAGCCACAAAGCTCTACATACTTCACATGAGTGACGTGACGGATAACTAAGGTGTCAATTCTCGACCAACTCTACTAACATATTCGTTTCTCAGCTTCGTCTACAGAAGCTTGTTCGATGATGTATCAGCCCCGGATTCGCTTCTGCAGCACAATGGCGTTGTGAACTCGGAGTTCATGCTGAGTATTGTACACAGGCATCTGGACTTCCTCAAACTATACAGGCATAATGCCAGCTCAGTCTCTACCAGGGTTCTCATTCAGGCTGCTTCCTTTTTCTTGGCGCTGTAGATGGAAGCAGAGTGAACACCAGAGGCAGATCGCTAATTGAGGCAAAGGCAGCTGAAAACGAAGATCGCTCTCCATCTCAGTTGAAGAAATAAGGTGACTCTAGCACGTCTCTTAAGTCAAAGTCACCTCGTTCGGGCAAGGGAGGAAAAATTAATGTGGGAAAGGACCGCTGAAAGCTCTTCAACAACTGGAAGCAAAACGGATGATGGTTAGATCAATCACACTAGATGATCAAACAAAATTTACATTTTTAAAAGAAGGCAGTTGTGATGCCTCGTGATTCTTTTCAAATTAACTTGAAAGGAGAATTTCAGAGTAGAAGAGTACTGTACATTCTCTAGTATTGGAATCTCGTAGAGTTCGACAAACTTTTCCCGAAGTATCCTGTTCATTTCATTCACATCACAAGCATGCGTCCAGTACGAATCATGAACTCCTGTAATCATATGTTATTACACGGCCATTATTAGAAGTGTGTACGTGGGCGTTTGAGAGAGAGAGAGAGAGAGAGAGAGAGAGAGAGAGAGAGATGCTAATTAACATGGATTCCACAAGAACTTTTTACCTGCAAAGTTTAAACCTGCTTTTTTACAGGCAACCGCAGTCATCATCATATGAGAACTATCGAGGGAATGAACAAAATTAGGTGGGAACGCTGTCCTCTGCCTCTTGACCATGACCTATATTAGACAAAAAATCAATTTGAGATTTGAGGCTCGGAAACTTCAAATATTTAAAACAATTCCAAAGATGACGTGAAAACTATTGATCTACATTTTCTTATGGCATCCTCTGAGTGAAGATAACTATAGTACCTTATCTGTTTCTTGCTGTAACGATAAAATTTGAAGCGAAGTTTTAATCTGCAACAAATTGGACCAGAAGCTATTAGACTTGATTTAACCTTTTAATAACTATGAATACAATAACAATATTGATGACCCTTGTTGACTCGGTGAAAATTGTAATACTCACAAGATGCCTGCCGAATTTACGGTAAGGTTGCACAACTGGAAGTCCGAGCGGAGTTGTCCATCGTACTGGCTCATTTTCAGATGCAATTATCTGAAAATAAGATTAAAATATCAAAACCATAGGAAAAAAAATTGTGAGTGAGAAAGAAATAAAAGAAAAGAGGAATCTGCTACAAACTTTTGCACATTCGCCAAGCCAGCTCATGATACTTCGTGCAGCTTCAAACATCTCACCTAGAGCGGTTAAGGTGATCTGCAAATGATGTATGGAATCTTGTCATTTAAATTCTAATGAGCACTGCATGCTCACAAGCATATGAAAAAAAATTGTTACAAATATGAAAAGACAAATTGACACCCTCGCAATATGATTTTTCTGGTACCTTTGCAGCATAACAAGCACAACCAAAAAGCTCTTCATCATCTGAAATGGAACCGCGTTCCTTCAACCTCCTCTTGATTTGATCCCGAGCACCGATGTAAGTGACACCATATACTGATGTCATCACTGTCTGCTTCACCAATTTCCTATCCACCTACATATGTACAGCCATCAGGGTTAACTCTCAGTTGCACATGATAAGCAGGTAGCAAAAAAATGCCACTTTAGAAACAGTAATCAAATAACAGCCACATTTTCTGATATACTATCAAACGACACATGTTTTGTTAGAAATTGAACAGGTTTAACTGTAATGTTGCGCTATCCACTTTGTTTTAGTAATGCGTCCATCAGAAAGACTACTGAAGAGTTGTAAAATCAACCTGATCAACTAACACTTTTGCACGCAATGCCTCTGGAAAAACTGCAGGATCCTTCTGTGCATCCCTTCGCATGATTTCCAGTACCCTGCAATGAGAGTGTGACACTTTTTCATTAAATTACTTATTATGACATGTTGACAGCTTACACGTAAATTGACAAAAGTAACACTCATGTGTAGAATAAAAAGGTTCTACTTCAATACGGATCATGTGATACCTCTTACTTAGTCATAAATCGCTTACTTAGCAGCTATTCCTGAGTATACATCTGCAGGCTTCTCTCCTGCAACAAGATTGACAGAAGCTGCTCCCAACTGAATGCAAAATTTCCAATGAGAAAACAGATATCAAACTAACGCATGAATTTTCCCACTATACGATAGGTAGACAGGGGAGTGAGGGAGTGGAGTTGGGAGGGGGCGTTCACGTATGACCTACTCTAGAATAAATTGAGAGAAGTAAATTACCTTGTCTCTTCCAAGGGCAGCGTAGTGTTGTAAACCATTGCAAGAGCCATCCTAAAAAAATCAGTTAAAAACAAGAAATGTAAATATACTATTCCAGAAAATATATAATCTCCTTCAAAAATGTCTGAAACCACATAATTAAACATCCAGAACTAATTGATTACTTGTGGTACACTTTGTCAACTTAATTCCCCTAGCCTTAAGGTAAATACAGGAATCTCACAGTTTTCATGAATCCAAGATGTGGCCCTCACAATGAAAATGTACCTGATGTACGGAATATGTGAAATAAAAGTCTCTGGAGAAGAGCTTCTCAAAGCTTCAGCAAGGTTAATGCACACTGCCAAGCACTGAAATGGATCTTCTGCCTTCAACCACCAGCGTCTTCCTTCTAGCGGTCTGTCCACAGAATCAAATATATCATCCAAATGATTCTCTATAAATGCTATTCGACCCTCGCGAGATAATTTGTCCACACCACTCGCATAAAGATTTGCCAAGTGTATCTTCAGCCAACGTAAGCCTGACTTTCCAAGGGGGCGTCCCTCTGCGAACTCCAAAATACCCCGGGATAGATCTGAACCAAGATGATTTAAGTATGGGTGCATAGGATATGCACGGCCCCGAAAATCAAGATTGTGTGGATAGTAAAAACCCTCTTCATCCTTCATCTCCCGTGCTACCTGCTCCCTGATAAAAATGAGTTTCATATATTCCAAGTACATTATGGTTACTGACTCACAGGAGAGAAATGAATCTTACAGTTAGTTTAAGCTCCAAGTCACAACGCTGTGAATGCCTCTCCATGTTCTCTTTCTTCACAGATTTCACCTTCCATTTCCATTTCTTAAGCAGTGTTTCATCATCAGTATCTGGTTCCTCTGGTAAAGGAACCTGAAATGCCAAAACGATAAAGAAACACAGCTCCAGATCAATTTCAATATATCAAATTGGCTGACATAGCACAAGATTGATAACAATATTTTTGAAATAAAATGGAGTGAAAAAAAATTCAAAAACTGATTAAACCAACCATTTGGTTCAGTTGTTAAGTTCTGTTTGAATTTCCCCAAACTAATTAAGGTTGATAGTCTTTGGCTTTTGTCAAAGCATGTCAAAAGAACGAACCAACCTCCTAATAAGTACCAAGAATCTTGAATAATTTTTTCTCCTTTTTTGTGTGTGTTTGTGACTAATAAACTCACATTATCACGGTCCACCAAATCAGCAAGACGGCCTCCACTAGCCCATATTCTATCTACAACATTAAGTACCCTCTTATTAACCCTCCATCTGGTATTTCCAAGAGTATCCAGGGCCTGGCCATGAAAGACAAAATTAACGCATATAAGAATCAACACATAAGGCACCACACTCTTCATGTTTGATTGAGTTCCACAAACATTTTCATGATGAAAAACTCATACAACCCTTGTATGTATACAAACCTTAAAAACTGGTTCCAGTTGCTCACTTGGGGTCCTCTTTATTGCTTCACGCTGCTGTTTAGCTCCATGAATGCGCATGACATAGGATGGTAGGAAAAAGTACCCTCCTCTATCATAACTGAAGACAAATTTACAAAACCACAAAACAGAGATAAAAACAGTTTTAACCTAAAAGTAATCTGAAATTCTTATCACATAAGGACTCTGAAGAAGTTGAATTGTACGTTCTATGTCATGCAGTATGAAAGCATCAGGCCACCTTTGAAGTTAGAATTAAATAGAGAAGTTATCCAATTCTATTCCTATATCAAACCCTATTCTCCATCTCCAGCTCAGACCCACAAGAATACAGTATATTTGAATAGCTCTAGCCTTCTACACATTCCATTCCATCCAAAACTGATTCTATGAATCACGCAACCTATAATCTGATATTGTGTGAACTTCAAATAAAACATTAACAAAAGAACAACTTTAAAATTAGGCAAAAATGGTACCACATAACTGAAATTATCATACCCTGTCCAGTTGACTGGTGGCACCAACATCGGCATATAAGGAATCACCATGTGGCTTCCCTGCATAAACAGTAACAACTATTGATACATTGTGGACTAAAGAAAATATACAATTCCTGTAAGCTTCTTAAGATGTGTCCTTTGACAGGAAAAAGAGAAATATTATACACTATTAGCTTAGTCAACACTGCATCGCCTGCCAGGGACAAATGAACAATAGTATACTGACTATATTATTCACTCAATTTCAATACTATCAAACTATTTAATCCACAACACTCCTAGATCCTAAAGAATAAATATGTAAAAATAGTTACCATGTTCCAGGAGCCAACAGACATCTACAATTGTTTCAAGAATAACAGAAAGAAAAAAGGATCGGAGTTGCTTACTGTTTTCTCAAAGCCTTTGAGAACAAGAGGGTCGCATTGAATAACACCAAATCTTCTGCTGGACGTATTCCTGTTAGGGAAAGTCCACATTAACATAAAATAAATAAAAATAAAAAAAAATATCTTCAGCAGGGGAGGTGTACAGTTATCAATAGTACAGACTAGTAAATACTTTGGATCTTTTGCGACAGTCCTAAATGTGTGTATAAATGCAGGTCGTAGATCTGGTGGACCATCTGCTAACTGATCGGCCGGAGGTTGTATAAAAGACGTTTGAATCAACAATTCAATCAGACGACTGCCGACCTGAAAATTACATAAAGAAAGAGCGGCATTTTAGAATGCATGTAAATAAAATGCTGATAAGGTTCTACTAGTAAAAGCATAAACCATGCAAACCTTAGCCCTGGCATCCTGGCTCCAGGGTTTTGAAGCATCATGTTTCCGCACTATATGTCTCACCGCTTGTAGTTTTTGCTTTTTCATCAAATTAGTGACCTTTTTATTCAGCTTCTCTTGTTCCTTCAATACATCATCAGACTCTCGGTTTTCCTCATCTTTGTTGACCTTTTTCTTTCTCGTCCGTTCCAAGAAATTGTGTATTCTAACCTGATGCATTGAAGCAGTGATACATCAGTGCTCATCTAGGAGAGATGGGCGGGATGACACTGTGTACAGTAAGAAAACCAAGCCTTAGGAATTGTTTTACTTAGTCCAGCTAGAGAACAACAAGACACAAAGAACAACGCACTAAGGTTTTCAATTTTAGATCATTCTCAAAGTCCCTACCCACACAAACTTAACATGCTTTGAGAAAAGGGGAATATATGAATTTCACTACGGCACCACCATTAACTCGATTCCAAAAAAGAAAAAGGAAACTAAACAGAAATATAAAATGACTGCAATGCTATTTATGAATGGAAGCACATGGACTAGAAACCAAGTAGAACAAACTGAAACCGAATCAAAATGTCCATGAATAATGAGTAAAACAAATTTCACACCTCGTGCTCAATGGCTTCACCTATGGTGCAAGCAGCTGAAACCACCCTGCAAGTTCCATGTTCGCCTCCGGTCATCAACAATCCCATCAGCTTATGCATTGTAATAACCGACATCATATCAGCTGGTAACTGATCAATATAAGGTGCGTAGGCTGCCTTATTCTTCCCTTTCCGGCACAGGTCTTGCTCTTTTTCAATGGCATTGCGCATAGGCTCAAACCAACCAAGAAACAAAGACTTCATGTATGGCAAATTGGGAGCTAACTTGTGCTCACACATGTCCATCATAAGCTCCCTGTACTCCTTCGCTGCCCGTTCCCATGCTTCAGTCTCAATCTTTATCTGTCTTCTCTTCAGTGCAAAGTACTTCGCCTGCCCCATTCCTCTCACTCTCCTCAGCCGCATCCGCCGCCAATGGTCAGTCTGCCTCCTACCCTCTTTACTCATTTGCTGCAACAGTTCTTGAACTTCATCAACAAGAGACACATCCTCCTCAGCATCAGTGGAAGAAACCACCTCAGCGACGCTCGCATACCCTCTAGGGAAAAACCCATTAAACCCAATTGGAGTCCTCACAGACCAATAACTTGAGTTGCCCATATAACTCTCACCTGTAGAAATTTCACCTTTCCCGGGAAAACCCACCTCCGGAAAACCCATGTTTGAGTAAGAACCCAGCTGAAAAGGCTTGAAACTTTGAGGGGAAACAGATTCCCGGGAAAAACCCAGAAGGCTATAAGCTCGAGAAATGGACTGTGAATTGAGACGACCCCTCTGATTCCTGGGAATGGCTTGCTTAGCCAAGTTTCTCCACAAACTTGTGAATATCATTGATGGGTTCTTGTGGAAACCTATGGGGATTCGAAATGTGAAATTCTTGGTGAAATTTGCCGGGGAAAAAGGGATTTGGGCGCAGGACATCAAATTAAAAAAATCAAATATTTTTGGGGGAGATGAATTGGTGAGAGTGGGATCAGAGGAAATGGGTCGAAGAAAGGACTCAGGGAAGCAATCGAATTCATCAGAGATGGAGAGGGGAGGAAGAAGCAAAATCAGTAAGCAAACAGCCGCCTAAAGCCCTTAACCCTTTTCTTAAACCCTGGCTTTGGCAGTAGCAGTAGTGTACGCTTCTGGTTTTTGCTTTTGGTGCCTGACAGGGAGTTTGGGGCGTTTCTAAAATTTTGCCATCTTTGGGGAGCTATTTGTGTGATTTGATCATAAAAATGAAGCATCCATACGTTTGGTAATGATGTGGCCTAATCAACATCTAGTTTCCCTTTTTGTTTTATTTATTTTTCAGATTTCAAAGCAAAAGGAAAATTTGGATTAGATCGCTTGGTAACGAAATTTACGTTTAACTTACTTGTTAAATAATCTTTTAGTACTATAGCTTAGTGGTTCTCTTTCAGTTGTAAATGAGAGATCTTAGCCCAATTCTCGTTAAAGGTGAAGTTGAACAACATTATTATAGCAAGCTCATTGTAAAGTTTAGTCCACTACCTCACCTATTTAGTAAAAATACTATCGTTTGTTATAAAAAAAAAAAATAACATAACTTGAACGGCACAAATATAACCACTGAGGCAACTCTAATCTCGCGTGGCTAGCTCTCATGGGTGCTAAACCCTAAGTAACATTGGCTAGGGCTACTATGAATGACATGTTGATAACCTATAAGTACAGATGTGGTAAGAACAGCGATTTTATTTTCACATTATTTTTAGCTTGTCACACATCTCTCTTTATTAATGGCCATTGGATTGAACAAAAATGGAATCAACGGTTGGGATTCCACGTCATTGATCTCAATGATGTATAATTTTGACTCCAAATAACAATCAACAACCTAACACATTACTCTGTTAAACTACATTCTTGTTCTGGGATCCCTGTAAAATGAACACATACAGTAAGAACCAGATAGTACACGAGCCAATATTCCTGTGGGAACTTTTGCTTCATCCTACATTAAATCTGACAAAGTTTAGAGAGAGACACACACAAAAGTTGCCTTGTCTAACAAATTTCCTGTTCTTCCTCTAAGAATGAGAAACAATGACATCCTATCACCCACACCGCGCCCTTGAGTAAACAACCATTAGACCGTACATCTTTCTTGGTTTCGCACTAGTGATTCAGTGACGTATACAATACTTGAATTCTCCACGTAGCTGGTTCTCATCCTACAAAGACATTTTTCGTATCACCCAAACGACCCAATTAACCAATCAAATAAATAGAGTAGGGTAGAAGATAGATTTCCATTTGTGAACTGATCTCGTTTCTTTACGCACTGGTAGCTGTGGGCTTAAAACAATCAATATTGCACAATCCAACTGATCTGAACATCTCTCCGAAGCTGCCACCAACGTTAAATTTCAACAGTCAGAGAAACTAGAGTTGTATATGTGTCTACGCTGTTATGCGAGCAGATGAATTTTGCAAGATAAAGCATGTATGGGCGAAAAGCGAAAAATTTCTTACCGGTCAATGCTATTCCGAGCTCTCTCTGGCTGTTCCACGCTATTACTTGCTTTTTCAGGTTGATCCATACTTTTTCTTGTTCTCTCTCTCTTATCCGTGCTGGCCCTTGACTTCTCTCTATGATCTGTACTTAACCTGGGGTTTTCTCTATGGTCGATACTGGGTCTAGAATTCTCTTTGTGATCTGTGATGGAACAAGATTTCTCCCTGGTGTCAGTGCTTTTCCGTGGATTTTCTGTTTGAACTGTAACTGGCCCTGATTTATTCCTCAGATGCGGATATTTCTCGATGGTTAATACAAACTTTTTGACATGCTTTATGTACTGTGGGTAGAGCTCCAAGTCACAATGATTCCCTCCCTTTATCCATAACGGCTCATACTTCTCTTTACAATTATCCCAAAGCTGCTTGCCATGGGACCAATCCACAACATCATCAGCCGTCCCCTGCCGGCAATAGGAAAACACAGAACAAAACAACCTGGCAAATAAGTACGCTTTTGGAAACTAAACCAAACATATTTAACGATACCATAAGGCAAGGATTGCACTATAAGTTATTGGTATACAATACGAAGTAAATGTTGTTGGTATACAATAAAGATTCTGAAAAGACATTATTTAGAATGCACAAGCAAAAACATTCACCACCGGTACGGTGATGACTTGTGAATTTGGAACAAGAGGACTTGGAGTGTTAGTGCATCAGTGCACATGTCGAAGACTACTGAAGTAACCAATTAGTTAATACCTTGCCATATTTAGATTCACAAAGTTCAAGGAAAATAAAGCATACAATTCAAAGGAAAAAAGGTACTCACATGAATCACCAGAACAGGACAACCGACCAAGGGTATTTTGTCGATGTTCTGCACCATGAATAGTAAAACTCTCATTAGCATGATATACTCCCAAATGTTGTGAAAATTTTGAACCGAAGAGTCTAAAGCTGCAATTAATAAAGATCAAGTACCTTATAAATGTCAAACCAATACGTTCGCTTCACTGGATACATGACCCGAAGACCAGACATGATCGGACTATGAAGAACCACTGCCCTCAATTTCAGTAACCGGGTTGCTAGATCGAGAGTAGGCCCACTACCAACTGATTGGCCATATAAGATAACATCCTCCTCCTTCGCACCGTACCTCTCCACAAGGCATCTATATGCAGCTTCTATGTCTGCATAAGTGTTTTGCTCACTCGGCTGTCCATAAGGCAAAAAATATACATCTCATTTCGAACATTCTCCTAACCAATTATCGCTAAGACTTGTTTTCACATCCAATCCTCAACGCGGTCTCTAGGAAAACAGAAATCTTTCTATAACATAAAGTAGGATGAAAAACTCGACATAAGAGTGCATCTGCGGCGTAATAAAACCAAATTCAAGTTTCATTTTCTTCTGATGGGAATTGCAAGAAACGAAATCCTACTGAAATTAATTATACAGAACACTTAGCAATCCGATTAACATTTTCCGGTTTCTCTTCCCTTCAAACAAAATCGATACAAAATTGAAAGCGAAACCGAAACTGAAATCTCATACCTTCCCAGTAGACTGTCCGTACCCCGAATAATCATACCTACAAAACACACATAAATCCCCATAAAGTTCAAAACTTTACAACATCCAAACACGCACATAAATAATATACTGTGCAAAAACAGAAACACAGATACTTGGTCACAAATCAAACAGTGAATTTACAGATTTTTGCTATAGTTAATTACTTACCCCAACAAGTTGACTCGGAGGTGAAGACTCAGCTCACTGAACAACTCGTACATCTGACCCAGATCAGCTGCGTTCCCATGCGAGTGCAGAACAGTGAGCTTCGCCGACGGATTCCTTATGTACACCGCCACGACTTCGTTCCCCCTCTTGGTCCGCAGCTTCAAGACGTCGACGTTTTCCCTCGTCCCCACCCCGGTCATCTTCAGCTTCCCAGTATCCTCCTCCTTCTCCACCCCGTACGACGGCGGGCTCGGCGGGAAAAACGCGAACTTGGCCGCCATTGATGACGTCACTGCCCCCATCTCAAACCCAAAATATACCCAAAAAAAAACCCAAATTTAATTTAATTGAATCTGCAGAGCGTAAAGAGCTCGATTCAAACTCACTTGAATTGGCGGGTCGGAAAACTGGTGTTTGGTTGCCGAGAAAGTGAGAGAATACTGAGATTTTAGAGTTTGGAATCCGGGCAAGGAAGGTTTCTTAAGCTTAGAGAGAGAAAGAGAGGAGGGAGGGAGAGAGAAAGAGAGAGGGCGGAGGATTTTCCGGCTGGGAAAGGGAGGCAGCACGTGTGAAACGATTAAAGTTTTCAGAAGGAGCGGAGGGAAATGTAACTGCAAGTCTGCAAGCGGCGGAATTGGATCCGCTCTAAGGTCCGGAGCCCAGGATCAAATCATCTGGACCGTTTATTGGTATGTAAAAGAAATGAGAATCGTTGGTATTGTTTGGTGGCCAGGAAATAAGTTAATGAAGTCCGTTGGATTCAATTTGTGCGGTCTAAATGAATTTAACTTTAGGTTCTGGATACTAAGGTCTAGAGCGGATCCAATTCTACAAGGGGTTTAGTGTGTTGCCACGTGTCCACTCGGGGAAGCCGTGGCCACTTATCCCACTAGCTAGCTGTGTCTTCGTTGATGCCCAGATGGCTTTGCCAGATTGGCAGTTTTTTTTATGTTTTAAAAATTAAGATAAATAGGTTTTGTCTTGTTCCTTGTTGTAATTGACAGAAAATTGGGTCCGAGAGCTGTTTTTTTGTATTTTGTGTGTGTTTTTTTCTCACGCATGCTGTGTGAATGTGGTTGTGAACTTTATAAACCAAATTTTAAAACAGTAATTTATGTGCGAGAGTTGTGTTTTTTTAACTAACGAACGTTAAATTCATAGTTATTAATAATTGATAGTTGTTTAAGTATGATTCAGCATTTATGAATAGGTCACTCTAACTTCTGTCAAGCTTGTTATTAGAGCCCAAATTGTCTAGATTAGTATGTAGTTTGAAATAGATCATTATTCTCTTTACTTATACAATTTATACTCATCATGTTACAAAAATTCATGAGGTTTGAGAAAAAACATTAACACTCTATGAGATTTTGATTTACTTTCACATCACCTCTGAGGTTTTAAATACAAGGGTAAATTCGAGGTTTTAAAGTCGTCTGTAAAAAGGTGACGTCAAAGTAAATTAAAACCTTAGATGGTGATAGTGTTCTTTCAAGAGTTTTGTGAAAACACTATACACCTAAAAGAGTTTTTTGAACAAACGATATTATCTATACTAAGGAGAGGGGGTGGGGTTAGCCTCACAATGGGTCATCAATAATATGGTTCAAATTCGCCTTTGGCAAGAATAGAACTTAAGACCTCTTACTTACAAGTGAAAAAGAATACTACTAAATCGTAATACTAAGTGGCTACACATAAGAGAGTTTTGTGAAAACACAATAACCTGAAGGGGTGTTATGTAATTAACCACGAAATCCCAATCGTTTCTCTAATTTCTTATTTATTTATTTTTCTTAAACGATAGATGAATTTTATTAATAATCGAATGTGAGTCAATACATTATCATGGAAAGGATTCTTTCCAGATCTTTCCCTCTAAGGCTCAGGGATCAAGTGATCCGGACTTTTAAAATTTGATTCAACATTTAAAAAGAAAGAAGTTAATAAAAACTTTTAAAAG